TTCTAAAGAAAAAAGCTACCTTGCATCGGGTGCCTATCAGGTGCAGCGCTGCACTGAGGCACTTTGCATACATGGCTTCTAATGCGCACGGCCACCCTCGGCAAGGTCGGCCGGTTTAATTTTACGGAGAAAATAACTTCAGAGAGGTTAAGTAATATGCCTGCGAAAGAGCAAAGGCTTAAACCTACGTCTATGTGAATCTAAAGTTTCCATAACCATAATACCTCTACTTCATTAAATTATTTATATGAATATCTTATCATATCAAATGAAACACTAAAATTGGGGTACCTATGTAAGAATGACAGGTAAGACTGAAATACTGGAGAGCCCTTTTCAATGCCACCACCATCTTTGTGGCTATGAGTCCTGAAGACTGTTGAAAAAGAAAGTTAAGAGAAACAAATGAAAAAGCAGCAGAGGGATTTTGCTTTTTTAATAATGTGAGGGGCAGAAGGAAATTAAAAAGTAGAATTAGGAGAAATTTAAATATCAACAAGTTTATATTCCAATAAATATTAAAGGTTAAGACTAAGGAAAAATAAACAAAACTAAATGAGATTTTTTTTAAAAAAAGCATATGAAGCCAGAAGACAAAGAAAGGAAAGAGGAAATCCGCAGACTAAAATACAGGGTGGGGCAAAATCAGGTTTACAGTGTGAGGACTCAGAATACAGTTTATTCTTGTATTCTTATTAATTATTGTATGTTTTCCATATGAACAACTGTCAACCTACGTTTGCCCTACCCTGTGTATACCCTAGTAAGAAAAAGACTAAAATCCATGAAATATCAAGATGACACATAAACGTAGATATGATTGAGAATTAGAATGTTTTTTTAAATCAAATAAATAATTTTTTAAAGGAGAAAATTAAGAGAAAAAGAAAACCAAAAAGTCTGAAGAGGAAAGAAATAAGAGGGAATTAAGGGGTTAAGGGAGGCAGGCAGGAGCCAAGCACCAACAAGGCCACCCAGACTCAGCCGGCTCCCGGGTGCAGCGGCCAGGAGCAGAGACTGTCCACCCTGGGTAGCAGCGGCCGCACAGACTCACATCCCTACGTGCTCTTCCTTTCCTCTGCGGCCCCGGGCCAGCTCCATAATGAGCAGTCCCCTAGAAAACCAGTGCGTGAGGCTTTCTGCTGCTGACGGCTGCAGAGCTCCTGGGGGACTCTGGGAGGCTCTAAGGGGCCAGATGAGTCCCAGAGACAGAATTAAACGGTGCTCAAGTGCTTGCGCTCCGGTATGAAGCTAAGTTGCAATTCCCAGCCACCACTTTGTCGTTGGCTACACTGAAGTACTTTGGTACAGGTTCCTTATGATTTTGAGAATTAATGCAATAAATCACAAAGCTCAGCATAGTGCCTGTTTTAGTAGGCTACATGTATGATAACTTAATTCACAAGGAACCCTTAACCACCTTGCCTTTCTGAGTTTCCCTGTAACTCTGGGACCCTGCAGGGCAATTTTTGGGGAAAAAACAAAATACAATACTTAATTCAAACTCTTCATTTTTCAGAGCAAAATGTTAAAGACAAAACTAGATTACGAACTTGAAAAACCCTAAATACTGAAATACACACACACGCCAATTACTTAAATTTAAAACAACATTAACTTTTAAAATAATTTAAGGAACTCAAATATTTTGACTTTTCACATGACTTTCTCACTGTTGTTATGGCTTGGTTGTGAAGGAAAGTAAAAAGCACAAAGCACATAATGGAATAAACTGCTGCTCATTTTTTGTGTGGTTGTTGATCACACTGCTGACTGGGTAAACCAGTATTGTTTTATTGGTCAAAGAAGGCCTACAAACTCAACATCCTGAATCAAAATCTGTGATTTTTTTTTCCTCCCTGCTACAACTCCCTCGTGATGACCTTTTATGTTCTTTCCAAGAGGGTCAATCAGTGACCAATAAAGTTTACATTCCACTACCACCCAGCTAATGGGCCCACTTCTTAATCTTTTACCAGAGGTATCTTCTTCTGAAACACACTGACGTCTTTAATACCTTTTTAAAATTGATTTTAGAGAAAGGGAGAGAGAGAGAACGAATCATCGATATGAGAGAAATACATCAATTGGTTGCCTCCCACACAGGCCCCGACAGGGGATCAAACCCACAACCTTGGTATGTGCCCTAACTGGGACTCGCACCCACCACCTTTCCGTGTATGGAAAGACGCTCCAACCAACCGAGCCACACCGCCAGGGCAATAACTGAGCACTTCATTTTACTTTACAGCTCTATAGACTCAAAACAAACAAACCCTCTCTGACTGCAGTCCCAGCAAAGAGTCCATCGAGCCTAAGGAATATTCTTGGAAATTGGAGTAAAGCCAGAGGTGGCGCATGTCGGTGAAATGCTCAACTCTGGAGCCAAACGAACATCACGCTAGTGTAGGCTCGGCCACTCCCCAGCTATAAGACCTTGAGCAAGTTATTTCTCTACTTTTGCAGAAGTGTATGAGTACCCCTCACAGAGGATTGCTGCCATCAAGAACATAACAGATGGCACAGCGCCTGGCATATAGCAAGCGCCTATTAAATGGCAGGTGCTAGCACTTTTATTCTGGTGCAATACGTAAACTTAGTAAATGGGACACAATCATTTTGCCTGCGGTATCTTTAAAAGAGTACACACCGTGCTTTGTAGCTCCTTTATTATAGTGTTAAAAGAATTTACTGTGTGCTACTGCTATGTTTTGGTTTAAAAGGCATGTATTTATAAAGATTGATATTACAGCAGAAAAACATTTACTGCATCTTTCATCTAATCAATATTTCTGATATCTATCATTATTGTTCCTGGGTGTTCTATATTGTAGCTGCCAGCCTTTCTAAGAGAGTATCAAAAGATCAGTCATTTTTTTGCCTAATAAAATCAAGCAAGAAAGCCACATTGCTGGGACTGCCAAATGCTTTTTAAAAAGCTCAGCTCCGACATATAATTTAAAAATGCTTATGTAAAAATATTCAATAAACTACCCAAACATTGATCATCACTAGTTTGCTTGAGATTAACTATGCTTTTAAAACATTTCTAAGAGATTTTGGTCTTACAGTTTCAGAAGCAAATAGAGAAATGTGTGAAAGATTCACGGGACAGTGTTTTTTCCCCACAGCAGGTAAAGATTTCAGTGAGCTCAGTTGTATTGGGTTACTTGTCTTGTTATTTCTTATTTCAAACAATGATCTATAGCATTAAAAGCCAGCATACCCAACAGCATTTCACAGTGCGTTAATTCAGAAAAACTTCACCAGTTAAAACTGGGCTTTAACACGGTCTCACGTGTATGTGGAATCTAATGAACAAAATAAACTGATGAACAAAACAAATCCAGAGACACTGAAACATGCAACAGACTGATGTGTTTCGGAGGGCAAGGTAGGGGCAGGAAGAGATTAACCTGAGAACTTACATGCATATATGCTTAGCCCACAGGCAGACAATAGTTCGGGGGAGGCCTGGGGAGGGGCTGGAGCGGGGTGAAGGGAGTCAGTGGGGGAAAAGGGGACATCTGTAATCCTTTCAACAATAGTTTTTAAATGGGCTTTAAAAATTGAACGGACTTCTGAAGACTTCTTCCTGAGAAACTGCACTCGGTAAACAGTACCATCACCAGGGAAAGGATGGCGACTCCAGAGGCCTTAAAGAGAGGAGGGGTGGTCTGATCCCAGTATGTGAAAAACACGGCACACTTAATTAGCCTAATTACATGGTACACTTACGGCTTATTATTAACTCCCCCTGACAGAGAGATGTCAGCCTGGCCTTGAAAGCATGGTGGCCATAGTGCCTTGAGTTGAACTTGGACAATGTCCAGGAGCTTCCATCAGTCCCTTACATTTTGGAACAAAGCATCAGTGATATGTACCAAGTGTACACCGGTTAGAAATGTGACATCCTTAAACACCCAAGTTCTGGGCTTGGTGCATTTAGCTAACATAATGTGTTTCTATGCTCATTTGGACACTCAAAGTGACATAACAGAAAATTCCCAGCCCATCCCATTCAAATGATAATGAAGGAGCCAGGAATTAGTCTCCAAACCCAGTACCCTTCACTCATCCTTCGGCTCTGCTCCCAGTCTGCTTTTAAGGGCCGCTCGACATCACCTGCAGGCTCCCTAGCAGGAAGCGTGTGATCAGGAAGGCCTTCTCACCAAAAAGCACCCTAATTTTATTACCCTGTGAAGCCCTCCGCATCTATATTCAACACGTCAGTACCTTTTCATACTCATGTTTGAGGTTTAATGCAACAGTTTCATGGAAAGAGAAATAATATCTGGAACACAGGTAGTTTTTTTTTATTTGTAAAACACTGCAGGAATAACTGTTTTTAAAGAAAATTTCAGTATCAATAAAATACGAAGAGCTGTTTTCATTACAAAAATTCAACTTGTATGCATTCTTTCAAGTTTTTCTACTTAGGTTATAACCACAATAAAATTCTTAGTGAGTCAATGTTCTTTACAAAACATTATATCCCATGAGAGCATCATAAAGGTCAGTTTGAAGCCTGAGGTTCAAAGTTGAGTTGATGGAAAAGTACATTTTCTCCCTTTTCATTTAAATAAATACATAAAGCAGGGGTCCTGAAAACACTGTTAGAACAAACGCACATGAATATTTCTTTTGAAATCTGGCAATGAATTTGTGTATGGTGCTTTTCTTTACGGGGGAGAGAACAGTGACGGTGATTTTCTGTCCTGTTGTTATACTGGTTAAAATATTATATGTAACTACCCTCAAATGAATGTGGAGGAGCTGGACTTGGCAACATATTTAAGTAACTTGAGACTTGTATGGATTCTCTCCCACATACATGATTTTAAAAGCCTGTACGATGAATATATACACATGTATAAGCTCTACTTTTCTTTCGTAACTAGAACACACACAAGCCTAGATTTTAAAATAAGTCAATCTGGACTAATCCCTATCAAGCTACATCTAAAACAAATTGAAAACAAGCATTCCTTATTATGAACAGACCAGCAGAGTAACTGTCCCTGGGAAGAGGTACAATAATGTGACTTTATAAAAGTTCACAGTTGTGACTATCACAAAGAGAAACAATCAAGGATGTAGACACTGTGTATCCAGGTGAAGTCTGGGCAGACCCCGAGAACCTACTGGGCTAATAAACAGAGTAATGCATCAGACAGTAGATTAATAATTTTAAACTTAAGAAATTAACTTGTTACTAGGAGGCAGCCTAGATGGAATTTAAGGCAACACTGATGTATTTTTACAAAGAAATCTGTTTTCAAAACAATTTTTCTTTTAGTGGCAAAGATGAATGATACCTTCCAAATTGTATTCTCTAATATAAAGACTCAAAATAAATTACTTTGTTAAAAGAGAACATGTACTTTTAAAAGGTACTTGTTCCCATACCAGTTTTAAGAACTGCTTCAAGAGAAACAGCTCTAACTGAATAATCAATGCTGTGTGGGGGTTTTAATTGGTAATTCATTAATGAACCAACCTGATCCTAACATAGTTTGTATCCTGGGAAGTACATATCACACAACACTGTATAGTTTCAGGCTTTGAAAGGAAAGAAATATAAAACAGAAAATGTTTGATTCTATAATACCCCCTTCCAGCAAATAAAATTCTGTAAGTGGCTAAAGAATTTTAGCCAAAGAAATATGACTATCCTCAGAGAATTAAATCTGTTTGAATAGAAATATAATTTCTTATAGTCAATCTCCAGCTTGTTAGGTATTAACTACATGTGAATATACTCCTCCATGGTTACCCTACTATTAAATATTGATACTCTGTTATATAGTGTCTACCTTACTATATCCACATTTAGATATATAAATATATACTTGAAAATTTTTTTCTCATTACTCTTTTTAAACTCAACAGGCATGACTAAGTGTGTCCCCATAAAATAAAGTGATTTCTAACTTGGTAGGAGCACTGGAAAGAACCACTAAGCTGTAGAAGAATTTGGTATAAACACTTATGATGTGGACAGGAAAAAATCTATTTGTTGAGATTCAATTATATGATTTTTAAACCTTTCCACGATAACAAATATTGTCATTCGCAGCTCCCTATAGGGATACTTATAATCCTCAAACTGTAAAAGTATGTTTTAGGAATGTCTTCAATAATGCTGAAAAATCAATTTTTTTTTTTTTATGCTCCTCAATTTGACTGTAGAATTTGCAACCCTTCTTTTTTCCACTGTTCTTTTTTAAGTTCTGGTGCAATCCAACAAACAAAAACAGCTTTCAATATATTCCCGATTGAAACGTATGGGCCAAATTTTGAGCATGGGTAATAGGTAATCAGAATACAAATATATACTTTTTAGCATATAAAACCATCAGGTAACTTAATTGTATTCCTTCACATACCCATGGGTTATATGATGAAGGGATCTAAACATATCCAAGGGGGAGGAGTAGGAAAGGACCAGCGTGTTAAAGCCAATTGTGTATCATACATAAAAGTGCACATGTTAACTACTTGAAAAAATTCACATTTATTTACTGTCAAACCGTGTTAAACTTTACACTGGATATTAGTGATGGGCTCATTATTAACAGGTTTACACAAAGGGATGAAAAGAAAAGCAGAATTTGGCTGAAACAATTTACATTTCATTAGACTTTATCATAAAATAAATTAATTACTAAATATAGGCAGAAGGAATATGGAAGAGTAATATTTATGTTTTATTTTATTTAAAAAAAAAGAATAGGCACCTTTTTGTTCACGAGAAAGTTTGTGAGAAGTGCCCAGTGCGCTCTCTGCCCTCTGTTCCAGACTAAACAGAGGGTGACACCCCATCTCTCTAGATTTCACCACATTTGTGCAAGGCATGGCGTAACTGGCTTCAAAGAGCTTGCTCCCCATAAAACGCGCTCTTTTGGCAATAAGAAACTTCAATGTAAGGATAAAAACTAACATGTCAAAGCAGAACGCTGTATACAGTGGAAAGTAAGTGAAAATGGGTAGAACTTACCATGACAAAGTGTAAGAAAAAACATTTCATAACATGTGCAACCAAGAGCTTTTTCACAATATTTTCTTCAAACCCTTTAAAATTATTTTAATGACAATTCTATTTCAGTTGGACACAAATGTATTTATTTTACCCTAGCAATAGAACAAAATATAATTTCTTTAGCCATTTTTTTTTCTCATGAGAATAGTTCATTGTACAGTTGAGGAAACATACGAAATAAGGCCTGTGGCTTGATTGCTAGTGGTTAAACATGTTTTCAAACTTTGCCTTAATGTAAAAGACTTGCAGTGAACTGCAAACTGACGCAGAATATCTCTCCTGCTTTTCCAAGTCTCGTCAGGAACAGTAAGGTACAGTAAATTTGTCCCACAGGATTTTAAAGCCTACGTCTTGTATATAATACAATGCAGGCCTACAAAAAATGGTGCAGCCATATTTACAAATTTAGTTCGCAAACTGCTGCAAGTAAAATGGCTGGAAAGTTCTGTTTTGCTCGTTTCACAATTTCTCTAAACAGCAGCAGAATCTTAAAATACCTGGTTGGCATCTCTTTTCTTTGTAACAAATAATTCATTTTAGTATACTCTGTGTATATACAAAGTTTTTTTTTTTGTACGTTTTATAAAAATTCACGGAACGGCAAGGTTCAGTCATCTTTCTTTACACTGGAGGGAGCCACGGGTGACCAGGCGGGCGCCTCGGGCAGAGTCCGAGGGAACCGCGCGGGGCCGCGGGGTCCGGCTTCCCGAGCCCTCGCCGGTGGCCCGGGCGTTCCCGGCCGCGATCAGAGGCTCGTCACCAGCTGCATCTGCCCTTCCCTGACGTCGCCCTCGGGAACGCAGCCCTCCTTGTTGATGGGGATGATGTAGCCGTCGCTGTTGCCCCTGCCCAGCGGGTGGCACGGGCGCAGCTGGTGGCCGGCCCCCAGGTTGGGCATGCTCTTGTAGTAAACGTCGTCGCTCTCGCTCCGCCGGGAGGGCGACAGGTCCTCTTCCAGGTCCGGGCTGCTCTCCTGGTAGGGAGAGTCCCTGAGGTTGGGCATGCTCGTGTACAGAGAGTCTCTGTTGGGCGACTGCAGGTGGTCCTCGGCCTCGGCCGTCAGCTGGGACGCGTAGCTGTCGGTGCCCTGCGCCTTCGCCTTCTTCTGCGGCTGGTACAGGAGCGAGTGAGTCCGCTGGGGGATGAGCGGCGCCTCGAGCTCCTTGGGGTGCAGCTCCAGCCCCGGGTTGTCCCCGTGCATCAAAGACGACGCGTCGGCCACGATGGCGTCGTCCTCGCTGCTGCTCCCTCCGATGCCGGGCTTGACGGGGAGCGTGAGCTCGAGGTGGTGAGTCTTGCCGCCGCCCCGCAGGTTGTTGTGCACTAACTCTGAAATGATCATCTTCTCAAAAGCGGTGTCATTCAGACTCAGTCCACAGTCCACGACCTGCACGCTGTCGTGATAGTCCCCTTTGCGCAGTGAGTAGCTGTTGTTAAAGTTACCATTTAGCGGTAGAGTATCCATGGCACTTGTATCCCTGGCATTGTTCAGTGAATGTCCTGAAACAGAAAACGGGGTTTCCGTTATTGCCTCCGCTCCTTCCGAAAGGATCGTTCATTCCTTTGTACAAGACGTTTTAATGTCGTTCAGGACAAAGTTGTATTTGAAAGCTAACACTTGGAAAGTGCCAAGCTTTCCCGCATTCCCAACTGTAAACAGTTGCAACCCCTTAGGTAATACGAAAAAGTGTGAAAGAATAATACTGTTTTTCCAGGGAGGGAAGATGGCATCCAGAATATTACTTCATCAATTTCGGGGAGACAGTAGTTCATTGATTTGGGGTCAAATCTCTGACACTTACAAAAAAAAAAA